CAGCATATGTGTACAGTACCTAGGATAACCCAAAAAATTCAAGAGTGACATATTTCCATTGGTGTCCTTTTATATTTACACTTATATTTACTTTTATACTTACACTTTTATATTTACACTTACCTTGGAGGAGATGCAAGTTTAATTAGCTAGTTTGACGAAGGAGATGTTGGCAGAGGTTTAGGGTGGTGGAAGATAGCAGGGCGGTGTATGTTCAGCGGTCCTATACACATCCAACAAAATTGGAGAGTTACTCTCATGTTGTTTTTCTATCGCTTACTCGCTTAACTTACTTGCTACACTGTTATTTCTACACTTTATCGCTGGCTGGAGCTATAGCCTTTATTGATACCTGTTGCTTTAGTATCATACATATTGTAGAATCGCTGAATCACTGCAGAAGGCACATTCTCCCCTCTCTCTTCCTCCTCTACTTTAGTACTTTGCTATGAGTTTTTTCTTGAATTCTATCGTGTTTCTCACCTTTTTTACCAAAGGTCTGGCGCTAGGAGCTTTCTTTGGGCCCATAGTGGCTTATTTAGCAGTTGCAAGCACTAAAAACAATGAATCATTATGAAATGTGCTGTATGAACCCATTGGGTGATGGTCACATGCTGGTAAACAATGGCACACCGAGTGTGAATAGTGCGGGAGACTGGTTTTATGTGCGTGCTGATGGGCAGACGTGTACCAGAAGGTCACCGAATCACGAGTCCAATCACGAACCACGAAGCTAAATTTTGCTGAAAAAACTTGTCGAAAGTCGGATTTCACGAAAGTCGCGGCCGCCGAATGGCAGGGGTCCACTGTACAGTGGTCCCTCGTTTTTTGTAATTAATCCGTTCCTGGAGGAGCTACTATAAACAAAATTTATGATTTGCGAATCAATTTTCCCCATAAGAAATAATGTAAATATAATTAATCTGTTCCTGACACCCAGAAGTATTAAAACAAAAAAAATTTTTACATGAAATATATACATGTAGTACATAAACAATACAATGGGAAATGATGAATGAAACATTAACAGCATAACACTTACCTTTATTGGAGATTCTTCTTAGTGTATGGGAGACTGGAGGAGGAAAGAGATTGGATTGTTTACAGTTTGGAAGGGGAATCCCCTTCCATCAACACCTCAGGTACCAATTGCTTCTCTGGGGTTGCTTCTCTTCTCTGTTTCTTAATGCCACTAGGACCACCTTGAGAGTCACTCTAGTCCTGTCTCGCAAAGGAACTGTGAAGAGAGCTCTGTTTCTGGCGTCTCTTTAACACTTCCCTAAAATGGCCCAAGACTTTGTCACTGTACATATTTCTCACCTTCTTTACCACAGGCTTGGCACTAGGAGCTTTCTTCGGAGCCATGGTAGCTTATTTAGTACTTGCAAGCACTAAAATGAGTGGAATACTATGAAATATTTCGTAGGAGCACTTGAGGGGACCTTCACTCACTGGTAAACAATGCCAGACTGGCTGGGTAGGGAGGCCGCCTTGGCTCACACCGTGCGTACGCGTCCCGGACGAACTACTATTCGCGAGTCAACCTATGAAAAGCGAGTCCATGTTTATACGAAAATACCCCTATGCAGAGCCGGATTACAGCATAGGCAAACTAGGCATTTGCCTAGGGCCCCGCACATTTGGGGGCCCCGGGGTTCAGGGGCTCATCCAAGACTGCGCACATGGTGCAAGTGCAAAGGGGTCCCTACCTAAAAAGTTCAAGTGTTTGGAGAGTAAAATTGATTTTTAAAAATTAATCAAAACAAAAATAAATAATAAAATAAAATAAAAATAAATAAACGGTTAAATGCCACGAACAAGACACTTCAGGAAATTGAAATTGAAATGGCTACTTGTGCTAACCTCTATGCAGGCTTAGTGGAATTTGTAAGCTCACTTCGCAATGATGAAGCTTTTGAAATGTTTGAAGAGAAAGCTAAACTGCTGGTGAAAGACTACAGTTACCGAGCTGATCATCAGCGGTCAAGGAAGAGGAAACGCAATTTTGAAGAGCCAGACAATGAAATTGTGTTGCTACCAAGGCAGAAATGTAAGACAGCTACATACTTCGTCATTCTGGATTCACTGATTACAGAATTGGTGAAAAGAAAAGAAATCCACCAGAATCTCAATGACAAGTTTGGATTTCTGTTCAAAATTACTACTATGCCAGATGCAGAATTGAGAGAAGCTGCATTAAAGTTGCAACAACACCTTTCAGCAGATGTTCAGGACACATTTGTTGAAGAAATAGTTCATTTTTCTGGGTATATGAATCAGATTAAAGCTCCACCTGAAAAATGTGCGCCCTCAGCTGCTTTGAAACATTTAAGAAATGCAGGTATCTCAGAAACCTTCCCTAATGTTGACATAGTGTATCGCCTTTACCTAACACTTCCAGCTACTAACTGCGAAGGAGAACGTTCATTTTCTGTTTTGAAAAGAGTGAAAAACCAGCTCCGTTCAACAACGAGCCAAGACAAATTGTGTAACCTAGCCTTGTTGACCACTGAGTCTGATCTAACAAGAAATATTGATTTTCAGAATATAATTGATGATTTTGCCAATATGAAATCCAGAAAAAAAGTTTATTTAAGAAGTGCCTGTGAATATAAACAATTCTTTACTTTCTTGAGTTTATATGATTTGCTAGTCTTATGCATGATGCAATGATAACAATAATGGTCAGTGATTTATAAAGGGAATAATAGTGCTGTAGTGGTTATGCTGAATATAATAGGTACATGATGTCACTACTTTAATAGCCTAATCTAGTAATACTATGCTGTCTTGGGTTTATTCTCTTTAAAATGCATGATTTAACAAGATAGTTATAATGGCTGTTGGTAAATGGTTTTGGTTGTCTTGATGTACTTTCTCTATTAAATTTAATCTAAATAGCCAGAATGTATTTAATTAGACCTTAAACAGGCTCACACCGACCCCCCCCCCCAAGCTGGAAGGGGTCGCTTCGTTTACCCGTAACTCAAAGGGGCCCCGCCAATCTGAATAGCCTAGGGCCCGGAGACTTCTTAATCTGGCCCTGCCCCTATGATTGGCGAAATTTACGATTGCCGAGAACTACGAAAAGCGAGGGACCACCCACTGTATGTATTTTTAGACAATAGTATGTGACTAAGGTAGGTGAAAATGTTCACCTGACACTGTTTGTGACTGAGTACTATTTCAGTACCTAATAAACCATACCCCCAGCCGGGATTGAACCCGCGGTCATAGAGTCTCAAAACTCCAGCCCGTCGCGTTAGCCACTAGACCAGCTAGCCACAATAAGATTCATCCAACTAGGTATATTTCTACACCATAGGAAAGTTAGCACAGGCACCTCTGTGACCACAAATGCAAGTTTTTACAGACGAATGTCCAGCTAGCGTGGCCGTGACGAACTCTAGCTCAAGTCCCTTCACTGCCGTCAACATGACTTAAGAAATCGTAATGACACGATTGCAAATAAAACCATACCCCCAGCCGGGATTGAACCCGCGGTCATAGAGTCTCAAAACTCCAGCCCGTCGCGTTAGCCACTAGACCAGCTAGCCACAATAAGATTCATCCACGCTAGCTGGAGTTTCGTCTGTAAAAACTTGCATTTGTGGTCACAGAGGTGCCTGTGCTAACTTTCCTATGGTGTAGAAATATACCTAGTTGGATGAATCTTATTGTGGCTAGCTGGTCTAGTGGCTAACGCGACGGGCTGGAGTTTTGAGACTCTATGACCGCGGGTTCAATCCCGGCTGGGGGTATGGTTTATTTGCAATCGTGTCATTACGATTTCTTAAGTCAAGTTCAGTACCTAATATTAGTGTCAAAACAGAGATAACTCTGAAATCACTAGAACTACTACAAACTGCCATCATCAGAACTTAAAAATTATACAAATTAAAAAGAATGAGGAAAAAAGGTATATCGGCAACGCATCTGCAAATGGCAGTGATTTATGTTGCCATCAGGTGAGCGACAAGTGCCAACTTTGTGACTTTGCGGCCTTATATCTCCATAAGTACTGACTCGAGAATTTTTTTTCATTACATTATGGAAAAAAAAGTCCTCTTCATTTAAAAAAAAAAACATTCAAAATATTTGAAGCGGTGGGCGAGTGAACATAGATCTATGTTTGAACAGTTAAGGGGTTAATGTTATTACAGTATCAAACCAATGTAGCTTGATTCAATCATTTTTAACACTGCAATTTCCTACCAAAGTAAGATGACCTCAAAGTAAAACACAAACAAAAAGCCAGCATAGCTTGCACCAGAACTGTTTTTCCACAAGGGCAACACAGGTATCATTATTCAGTGATGATCTACCAAACCTCAACTTTCCCACACAATTTACTAAGTGCTAGAGTATTACTTCCCACCTACAAAACTCTAGTCCAGTTAACCCATTTTTCTCAATTTTCTTAGAGATATTACCATGCTCACTTTCCAACAGCATATCAAATTCCAAAGACAACTCACCTCCACTCACCCCAATGTAACTTGCATGCATATCACTGCTGAATGTTCAATCCCAACCATTTAATACCTTTTCACACCATCCTTCCAACCTTCTAAGATGCATATAGCATACACCATAAGAATAAAAAGTGCATAAAAAAAAAAGGTAGTGCAGTGGTATGAAATATATAATTCAGATTGTGGAGGAAGAGCGGTTGAAATGATTTGGAGACTTTGAGTGGTATGGACTTTAGTGTCCAACTAGCATATGTAAGCATGAGAGTCAGAGTGGAGTATAAGCAGTTTTTGATATTTTATATACTGTGAGAGTATAAGCATAGTAACAGTTAGGAAGAAATTCAGAAAAACTAATTAGCCAAAATTGAGGTCTGGAGGTGGAAAGTACTGTATCTCCACTCATTTGACTTGTGATATCTGTGCACTTCTGAAAAGACAGCTAATGAAAGTAATGCAAAAGTATTCCTTTCTTTAGGCCACTATCTTGTCAGTAAATGGATGACATAGTAAAAAAAAAATAATTACCTTAACAGTTCTATGCAGAAGGCCATTCTCATCTTGTGCTGCAGCAAGTTCGGACTTCACTGCTGCTAACTGCTCAGCTGCTAAAACCAGTTGCTTCCCCTGGTCCTTCAATTCTTTTGCCTTACTGTCAACTTCATCTTGCAGCCTATCAATTTCACCTTGCAGTGCCTAATAATTGTATATAAATTTATTATACAGTGAGCTTTAAATTTATCACAGAGTAATAATTGTCTAACAATTAGTTTATACTGAGTGGCAATAGTGGAATCAAAGCTGGATAGCAATATGCTTGCCATCAAAATGTATACTTTAAAATTAAATGTTTTCAATATCTTCTGCCAGTCCTATCTATAGAGAGAGACAAATACACAAAGTTTAATAGGGACAAATACACTACTAATAAAATCCTACATAGAACAGTTCCAAATTATTTTTACAATATAAACTTCTTTTGTACTGTGGTTTGTCCCTAAAAAATACATTTGGATAAGATATTAAAAAGTCTAATTATCTACACAAAGAATAATTCACAGTACATGTACTAATACAGTTCAATACATAAATTGCAAGCTATCTCTTCATACTTAATATAAATTACATAAGAAAGAAGGAACACTGCAACAGGCCTACTGGCCTATGCGAGGCAGGTCCAATTCTCCCACCAGCTTAAGCCAATGCCTTGACCTAGTGAGGTCAGACACGTCATTTAAGGGAGGAGCACAGCATCTGACCTAGTAGCACAAGCCAGTCAGTTCCAACTCACACCCACTCATGTATTTATCCAACCTATTTTTAAAACTACACAACGTCTTAGCCTCTATGATGGTACTCGTGAGTTTGTTCCACTCATCCACAGCTCTATTACGAAACCAGTGCTTTCCTATATCCTTCCTGAATGCTTCTCTGTTTCCATGCATTCTGATGTACTCTGTTTTAATTTGCCTTACTTCAACCTCTATTTTTATATTATCCTCAGGCCATCCTACATGAACTTAGTTTTAATCCTCTGATGTACTTTATTAATTTTTGTGTAACTTTCCAGATAAAGTTGGTAATTTTTTAACACATACATACACACTAAACACACACACACACACACACACACACACTGACACACACACACACACACACACACACACACACACACACACTGACACACACACACACACACACACACACTGACACACACACACTGACACACACACACTGACACACACACACTGACACACACACACTGACACACACACACTGACACACACACACACTGACACACACACACACTGACACACACTGACACACACACACACACACACACACACACACACACACACACACACACACACACACACACACACACAAGGAATCGTTCAGGACTCTGTACACCGTGTACGTTAGGCCCATATTGGAGTATGCGGCACCAGTTTGGAACCCACACCTAGCCAAGCATGTAAAGAAACTAGAGAAAGTGCAAAGGTTTGCAACAAGACTAGTTCCAGAGCTAAGAGGTATGTCCTATGAGGAGAGGTTAAGGGAAATCAACCTGACGACACTGGAGGACAGGAGAGATAGGGGGGACATGATAATGACATACAAAATACTGAGAGGAATTGACAAGGTGAACAAAGACAGGATGTTTCAGAGATGGGACACAGCAACAGGGGGACACAGTTGGAAGTTGAAGACACAGATGAGTCACAGGGATGTTAGGAAGTATTTCTTCAGCCACAGAGTAGTCAGGAAGTGGAATAGTTTGGGAAGCGATGTAGTGGAGGCAGGATCCATACATAGCTTTAAGCAGAGGTATGATAAAGCTCACGGTTCAGAGGGAGTGACCTAGCACCGACCAGTGAAGAGGCGGGGCCAGGAGCTTGGACTCGACCCCTGCAACCTCAACTAGGTGAGTACAACTAGGTGAGTACACACACACACACACACACACACACACACACACACACACAAAGCCTTCTTCCACAGAGGGAGGGTGGCCCAACAAAGAGGAAAAGACTTTCACTGCTGCTCATTAAATCACTGTCTTCCCAGAAGCATGCTGACATCACTGCTCAGATGACCCTCTAAACTGCAACATTCATACCCCTTCTTCAGAGTGCAGGCATAGTAATTCCTACCTCTAGGGCTCAAGTCTGGATAACCAGTTTCTCCTGAATCCCTTCACAAATGTTATCCTGCTCATACTCAACAGTAATTCAAAACAAAAACCCACTTGCCTCCAGTCACTCCTTCTTACAACCGTGTACCATTATACTCAAGTACATTTCTCTTTATGCCACCATGGATAATACTCAAGTACATTTCTCTTTATGCCACCATGGATAAAGTTCTTGGTCTCCACAGAGGCCTTAATGCACCAACCATTTTCCCTTTGTCAATTCTATGGTTTGCCTTGTTTCTCATAAAACCATTTGCAGACAAGTCCATGCCCAAATATCTGAACACACTTACTTCATTCATGCTCCCTCCTTCCAATCCAATCTCTCTGTCTAAATTTTTTTGACACTACAGGTAGTTTATGAACTTTTCAACATTTTTATTTAGACTCTAATAAATACCTCTCGCTATTTTAAGCCAAAGTATTTTCCTAAAAGAAATTACTGACTATGATTACTGTAATCTTAGATGAGGCTGCAAAGAAGTGCTTTTTATCAAAATCTTCCTTAAACACTGGCACACCCCTTTATAGATACCGTAATACAGTGGACCCCCGGTTAACGAACTTTTTTCATTCCAGTAGTATGTTCAGGTGCCAGTACTGACCAAATTTTTTCCCATAAGGAATATTGTGAAGTAGATTAGTCCATTTCAGACCCCCAAACATACACGTACAAACGCACTTACATAAATACACTTACATAATTGGTCGCATTTGGAGGTGATCGTTAAGCGAGGGTCCACTGTACTACTTTCACACTCACCCGAAATGCTCTGCATAACTATGGGCTTTCAACATGCTCTTAAGTGTCGTCCATTTCTGTATAAACAATGTATCATGTTGAAACAAACTTGTATTTGTATATGGGACACTACTTACATATTCTAAACATGAACCTATTAATTAGGCAATGGACTGATGATGAAACAAAGTTTGGTAGCTTCTGAAGGCCAGGATCAGGTGAAGACCATTTACATCATGGCATTATTATTAAAACCAAAGAGAAGCACTAAACCTACAAGGGTCATACAACTACATCGTGGCATAATAGCGCTTCAAGCTAGAACTGTGTTATCAGTTTTTAATTTCTCATTCTATTCTTGCCATTACAATCTACCTTAATACTAGTGTACCTAATTGTATTGAAAGTTAAAACTGTGAACCCTCTCCCAGTTCTAAGCAGAGCTACTGTACTTCTAATTGTTTTAATTAATAATTAGGAGTACAAAAGGCTTAGTGAAAGTTTTAACAGTTTACTGTATCTTACAGATTTCCATAAATTCTACCATTCATCCTTTACTTGTAATGTGACAAAGAAATATGAAAAATGAATCAGAATTTTCTTAATTTCCATTCTTATGTTTTATACAACAACCACAGTCTAACCTGAACATTTTTGGATGCCTTATTCTTATTATCATCCCTCTCTGTTGCCAGCTTACTGCACATTTCTTCCGAGGAATTTAGTTGCGCAGTTAATTCTGCTACACGTTTCTTTAATTTGATGGCGACACTTTTCAGCTGGAAAAGAAAATGTCAAATATTCTCTCCCATCATCAGTTAACTTTTTTCCACTGAACTGCTTCAAGTCTCAATTACGCAGAAAAGCCATCATAGCATTACATACATACAAAAAGAGAGAAACATATACAGACAGACATGCAGACAGATAGAAAAACAGATTCAGATAGTTGTAGAAATGTTATTTTTATGGTTGCACTTCCCCTCTCACATTTCAATCAGACTGAAGTGACAGCAGTATAATCATTCTAAGGATAGCATCATTATCACTAATCAGTACAATTATAGAGGTGAAAAAGTAAACATCACTGAAATACAGTTGTATACAGTACTTCATAAAAAATTATGAACTAAAAGACCAATATTGAATATGAAGTAACTAAAATCACACTAAACGAAATTAAAGTCATGTTATTTATGTGCCCGATATAGGTGAATGAAGTTCCACTTTGTTGGCCAGGGAATCGGTATCTGCAAGGACATTTTTTGAAAAAGATCAACAAAACAGTCTTAGAATTTCCTGCATAAAAGATTTTTAAAATATTTTTTTTTTTTATAATAACACATTGGTCACTTCCCACCAAGGCAGGGTGGCCCGAAAAAGAAAAACTTTCATCATTCACTCCATCACTGTCTTGCCAGAGGCATGCATACACTACAGTTATAAAACTGCAACATTAACACACCTCCTTCAGAGTGCTGGCACTGTACCTCAAATCTCCAGGATTCAAGTCCGGCCTGCCGGTTTCCCTGAATCCCTTCATAAATGTTACCTTGCTTGCACTCCAACAGCATGTCAAGTCCTAAACACCATTTGTCTCCATTTCCTTCTATCTAACATGCTCACGCATGCGTGCTGGAAGTCCAAGCCCCTCGCACACAAAGCCTCCTTTACCCCTCCCTCCAACCTTTCCTAGACCGACCCCTACCCCACCTCCCCTCCACTACAGATTTATACACAAGTCATGCTATTTCATTCCATCCTCTCTACATGTCCAAACCATCTCAATAACCCCTCCTCAGCCCTCTGGATAATAGTTTTCATAATCCCACACCTCCTCCTAATCTCCAAACTATGGATTCTCTGCATTATACTCACACCATATATTGCCCTCAGACATGACATCTCCACTGCCTCCAGCCTTCTCCTCATTGCAACATTCACCGCCCATGCCTCACACCCATATGAGAGTGCTGGTATAACTAGACTCTCATACATTCCAGTCATTGCTTTCATTGACAAAGGTCTTTGTCTCCACAGGCTCCTCAGTGCACCACCCACCTTTTTCCCTCTCATCGATTCTGCTGACACATCCACTCCCAAATATCTGAATACATTCGCCTCCTCCATACTCTCTCGATCCAATATGTTATCCAATCACACTGGATAACCAAAATTTTTGGTTATCCTCATCACCTTACTTTTTCCTACATGACTTTTAATTTCCTTCTTTACATAACCTACCAAACTCATGAACCAATTTCTGCAACTTCTCTTCAGAATCTCCCAAAAGCACAGTGTCATCAGCAAAGAGCAACTATGACAACTCCCACTTTGTGTTAGATTCTTTATCTTTTAACCCCACACCTCTTGCCAACACCTGAACATTTGCTTCTCATACTACTCCATCTATAAATATATTGAACAACCATGATGACATCATACTTCCCTGTCTAAGGCCTAGCTAACTAAGAAATAATCTCCCTCTCACCTGCATACTCTAACCTGAGCCTCACTATCCTCATAAAGACTCTTCACTACTTTCAATAACCTACCATCCTATTCCATACATTTGCAACATCTGCCACATGCCCCCCCTATCCACCCTGTCATACGCCTTTTCCAAATCCATAAATGCCACAAATACCTCTTTACCCTTATCTAAATACTGTTCACATATATGTTTGACTGCAAACACTTGGTCTACACACCCCCTACCTTTCCTAAAGCCTCCTTGTTCATCTGCTATCCTGGTCTCCATTTTACTGTTCATTCTTTCAATAATAACTCTACCATACACTTTAACAGGTATACTCAACAGACTTATTCCCTATAATTTTTACTCTCTCTTCTGTCCCCTTTGCCTTTATACAAGGGAACTATGCATGCTCTCTGCCAATCCCTAGGTACCTTACACTCTTCCATACATTTATTATATAAAAGCACCAACCACTCCAAAACTATATCCCCACCTGCTTTTAACATTTCTATTTTTATCCCATCAATCCTAGCTGCTTTATCCCCTTTCATTCTACCCACTGCCCCATGCACTTCCCACACATTTACAACTGGTTCTTCCTCACTCCCCCTTTTTTTTTTTTACCAAGTCGGCTGACTCCCACCGAGGCAGGGTGACCCAAAAATAAAGAAAATCCCCAAAAAGAAAATACTTTCATCATTCAACACTTTCACGTCACTCACACATAATCACCGTTTTTGCAGAGGTGCCCAGAATACAACAGTTTAGAAGTATATATGCATAAAGATACACAACATATCCCTCCAAACTGCCAATATCTTAAACACCTCCTTTGAAGTGCAGGCATTGTACTTCCCATTTCCAGGACTCAAGTCCGGCTATATAAAATAACCGGTTTCCCTGAATCCCTTCACTAAATATTACCCTGCTCACACTCCAACAGCTCGTCAGGTCTCAAATACCATTCGTCTCCATTCAATCCCATCTAACACGCTCAGGCACGCTTCCTGGATGTCCAAGCCCCTCACCCACAAAACCTCCTTTACCCCCCTCCCTCCAACCTTTTTGAGGACGACCCCTACCCCTCCTTCCTTTCCCTACAGATTTATATATGCTCTCCATGTCATTCTACTTTGATCCATTCTAAATGACCAAACGACCTCAACAACCCTTCTTCAGCCCTCTGACTAATACTTTTATTAACTCCACACCTTCTCCTAATTTCCACACTCCAAATTTTCTGCATATATTTACACCACACAGTGCCCTTAGACAGGACATCTCCACTGCCTCCAACCGCCTCCTCGCCGCAGCATTTACAACCCAAGCTTCACACCCATATAAGAGTGTTTGCACTACTATACAGTACTTTCATACATTCCCTTCTTTGCCTCCATAGATAACATTTTTTGTCTCCACATATACCTCAATGCACCACTCACCTTTTTTCCTTCATCAATTCTATGATTAACCTCATCCTTCATAAATCCATCCGCTGACACGTCAACTCCCAAATATCTGTAAACATTCACTTCTTCCATACTCCTCTTCCCCAATTTGATATCCAATTTTTCTTTATCTAAATCATTTGATACCCTCATCACCTTACTCTTCTCTATGTTCACTTTCAACTTTCGACCTTTACACACTCCCAAATTAGTCTACTAACCTTTGCAATTTTTCTTTAGAATCTCCTATAAACACAGTATCATCAGCACAAAGTAACTGTCACTTCCCAATTTGTATTTAATTCCGAATAATTTAATCCCACCCCTCTCCCGAACACCCTAGCATTTACTTCTTTCATGACCCCATCTATAAATATATTAAACAACCATGGTGACATTACACATCCCTGTCAAAGACCTATTTTTACCAGGAAGTAGTCTCCCTCTCTTCTACACACCCTAACCTGAGCCTCACTATCCTCGTAAAAACTCTTAACAGCATTTAATAACTTACCACCTATTCCATATACGTGCTTGCAACATCTGCCACATTGCTCCCCTATCCACTCTATCATATGCCTTTTCTAAACCCATAAATGCAATAAGAACTTCCCTACCTTTATCTAAATACTGTTCACATATATGCTTCAATGTAAACACTTGATCCACACATCCCCTACCCACTCTAAAACATCCCTGCTCATCAGCAATTCTACAATCTGTCTTACCTCTAATTCTTTCAATAATAACCCTACCGTACACTTTACCTGGTATACTCAGTAAACTTATTCCTCTATAATTTTTACAATCTCTTTTGTCCCCTTCCCTTTATATAAAAGGACTATACATGCTCTCCGCCAATCCCTAGGTACCTTCCTCTCTTTCATACACTTTTTTTTTTTAACTAGTCGGCTGTCTCCCACCAAGGCAGGGCGACCCAAAAAGAAAGAAAATCCCCAAAAAGAAAATACAGTGGACCCCCGCCTTATGATATAATTTCATTCAAGAAGTATGTTCAGAAGCCGTTACCGAATGAATTTGTTCCCATAAGGAATATTGAGAATTAGATTAGATTAGATTGTTTGCATGATGGTAGGATTGCTGATGTCTTTTGTCTGTCTCATAAATATGCAAGATTACAGGTATGTCTTGCTACTTCTACTTACACTTAGGTCACACTACACATACATGTACACATTTGTTTATACACACTCATCTGAGTTTTCTTTGATTTTATCTTAATAGTTCTTGGTCTTATTACTTTTCCTTTTATATCCATGGGGAAGTGGAATAAGAATCTTTCCTCCGTAAGCCATGCGTGTTGTAAAAGTCAACTAAAATGCCGGGAACAATGGGCTAGTAACCCCTTTTCCTGTAAAGATTACTAACAAGAATAAGAAGAAGAAAATTGTCAAAGTGGGAAGTCTGAATGTGCGTAGATGTTGTGCAGATGATAAGAAAGAGATGATTGTGGATGTTATGAATGAGAAGAAGCTGGATGTCCTGGCTTTAAGTGAAACAAAGCTGAAGGGGGTGGGAGAGTTTCAGTGGAGAGGAATAAATGGGATTAGGTCAGGGGTTTCAAATAGAGTTAGAGCTAAAGAAGGAGTAGCAATAATGTTGAAGGATAAGCTATGGCAGGAAAAGAGGGACTATAAATGTATTAATTCAAGGATTATGTGGAGTAAAATAAAGATTGGATGTGAAAAGTGGGTTACAATAAGTGTGTATGCACCTGGAGAAGAGAGAAGTGTAGAGGAGAGAGAGAGATTTTGGGAAATGTTGAGTGAATGTGTGGGGAGTTTTGAATCAAGTGTGAGAGTAATGGTGGTTGGGGATTTCAATGCTAAAG